ACTACCTACAAAGGTTCTTTATAGTTTTAAGCATCTATACAAATCATTTCTGGAATTATGTTCCTATTGAAATAAAGTGCTAGGAATTATGTCCTCTAGGGGATGTGGACGTAAAGGGACGTAAATTTTATATGCTAAATACTTTAGGGATCCATTTTACATATGACCAAAATATAATAATCTATAAAAATAGCACAGTAGGTAGTGCTTCTTGATCTCCAAATGCATGTCCCTAGTTCAATACCCATAAGGGACAAAAACATATAAAATTATTTTTCATTTGTGGATTTATCAATTTTTCTACAAATGTTATACCCAAATATTCGAATCATGATCAAATCTAATTAAGCTGCATGAAGATAGGACCTCTGGTCTTTCTGACAATCATGGACTGAAAACAGGTCAAAGTAGAAAAGGTTATATGAGAAAAGGCTTCTGGTCTAACTCTGATAAAAGCCTACAAATTCACTCTTTTGCATAGCAGACTCTATAATACAAAGAATACTCAATATAAAAATATTACAATCTAGCACTTGCTTAAAAAAAAAGGACCCTCTGGAAAATCAGAAGCTGCAGGTGATAACAAAGAGTACAATATCTTCTTCGAGAGGCCAGGCAAAAAGTATTTAGATTATTCAAGTGTTCTTATCAATCTTGCAAGATACATACTCTCTAACCATAAGTAGTCATAAAGTTGCTGAACCTGGACTTAGCAGAAAAGTGGATTTAAACTGGTGGCAAAACTTTTCATCCTGAATTTGTTCCACTCAACATGTGAACCCACTCACATGATGCAAGTCCATATAGTTGAATTAATAAAGGTAATTAGATAAGCTATTACTAGAAATAGTCAATAGACAATATTAAGCCTATATATAGATGTATTTCTATATGTAGGAGATATTTTATATAATATCTAAATATAATTATCAATAAAAATTTGCATCAATACATATTCACCCTAAAAAAAAATAATAAATAAAGCTATAAAAATCAATATATAAATAATAATATATAATAAAAATCAAATAAAAATTATTAATATAATTATATAAATAATTAATAAGAAAATTACAAACAGAGTAATAAAGTTTACCAAATCACAAATACATCAAAAATTATCAGAAATATATAAAATTGGACTAAAAAGTTTAAAACTATATAATAAAAAAAGATTTAATCAATAAAATCATTACTATAATTAATACAAATACATATATCTCTAACTGTACAAAAAAATTATATATAACATTTTTAATAGAATCATAAAAGTTTAAAAAAGAACTGAATACAATAAAACAAATAATTTACAAAATGTAAAAGAAAAACAATATTATACAATAAGATAATGAAAATAGATAATCAATAAAAACAAAGTGATATAATAAAAAATCAAATATATCAGAAATCAATTCAATTATAAATTATCCAACAAATAATTTGTTAAATTGAAATACATTATATAATTTTAGAATTTTTTAATAGGCATTGATAAAGCTATGACAAATTAGTTAAAGATATATCAATAATTTTTGGCAATAAGCTGCATAATACATGTTTATATATTACCATAAAAAGTAATTTGATCAATAATATGATTAACAATATAATTCTGAATTAAATATGATTTCTATTATTTACTATATGTTACTTAATAATTCTATCATAATATGGTTTTTTGAAAAATATTTGAATTCAACTCCATCACATATATAGGCTGCATAATAAGGAAATCTTTTGTAAGTTTAGAAATAGATAGAGTTTAGATAGTAATTTACAGATTTATGTATACTTATATATAATATTCAAAAAACAAGGTATAAGTCATTTGTTAAAAACCCCCTATTTCTAAACATATCACTAATATCAATTAAAACCCTAACTCAAAATCTTATTCTTATTTGAGAAAAAGATAAACATACAATAAAAACCTTAGCCAATTTATTCTTTAACTTACTATTACCTATTCTGATACTGTTTAAATTTTCATATCACTATCGATTAACTACTTTAATGCCATCAATATAATTTACTGGATTAAATTAGTTAATTCTTATACAAATCTTCTAGACCTAACTTTAAGCCATTTTATTCTTTGCAAGTCTATATTTTTTAACTAATTCAAGTTGTTAAGATGCCATCGTGGCAAACATCATTGTTGGAAGAAATTTACACCATAATAGTGCAAACATTTATTCATCAAAATGATCTTGACAAAGCAAAAAAATTTACAGAAAATTGCTTACCGTCAATCCATCGCCAGATATTGAGCTAGTTAAATGATGGTAGATGCTTGCCTGAATCGGAATGAGATAATCACGGCAAGGCTGTTGTTAAAACGCACGCGCACTTCAAATCTCGGATAAATTTATGGACAAGTAATTGATATTGCGCAAGGAAAAAAAATTTAAGTACCTCTGGATGGTTTACGCGCAATAATTAGATAGGCAAATCACATTATCCAAAAAAACATACAGATTAATGCTATTAACGTATTATCAAGAAGGTTACTTTACTGGTGTGTTAACGCTTTACAAGGAGTCCAAGTTCTTGGGTTACTTTCGTAAGGATCTTTATATTCACAATATTGTGGCTCGAATCTTGGTGAATAATGAAAGAATCGAGCAGGCACAAGAGGTTTTGCTTGACATTCAGCAATTGGGTCTAACACCGAACGTTGATACTTATAGGATTATGATTCATTTTGCGGAAGTACAAAATAATTCAAATAATGCGATGCTAGTATTTCAGGAAATGCGACGAAAAAATTTACAGTGAATCATGTGACCCTCTTGTATCCGAAAAGGTGTTTGTGCGCGGCCGGAGATTTTGAGGGCTCAAAAATGGTTATTGACTTGATGCAAAAAAGTAACATGATACTTAATATTAGTCACTATAACACTCTCATGAAGGCTTATGGAAGCAGACGTGATGAAGATGTACAAACAGAATTGAATACTATCGATTCAAACAATGATCCGTTTAATAAAGATGATAAGGACAGCTTATCAAACCACCCTGGAATCAAGAATGTATTGAGCATATTAATGTTATTCGAAATTCGAATCTGTTCCCTAATGCCGATACTTTTCATATTATAATCGAGACCTTCGCGAAAGCCGGAAATTTCGAGATGGCCAAGAAAATCTATACGGCAATGAGCGAGCTCACGATTCAACAAACACTCGAGATATTTCACATTAATCTGAGAAATGTAATCAAGACACAATATATAGAGAATGCGGCAAGTGTGTTTTGGGATCAGGTGAACGCAAATATTTTCAAGTCAAGGTCAACAAAATACGTGATACCAGATTATTATACTTGGAATATGATGATAGAATACGCGTTGAAACACGAAAATGTTGGTGTAGCGACAGAAATACAGTATATGATGGAATGTGGGAACGGGGGATGAGTATGAGAGTAAGTGGAATGTATGGAAACATTATGAAACTATTAATCGGGAAAACCGATTTTGAAAAAGCGGAAAGAATATTAAAACACATGTGCATTTGGAAGATTGAAGATGAAGGGTAAGTAGAGGATTCAGTATGCTGACGAATGAGTATTGGAAATTGGGAAAATTAGAGAAAATGGAAGATTTGTGGGAAAGTCTTTAAAAGTTAAACAATTTAAGAAGCAACGCAGCTAGGAACAAGAGGATATTGATCAATAAGATAGCATGTGAATATATGATTAAATGCTTTATAAAAAGAGAAATGAGGATGGAGCAAGAAAAGTTGTTGATATGATAATTGAAAACGGAATTAATGTTGATTCGGAAATGTTGAAAGGGTGGATTAATGAATTGGCGTAATAACTCAGAAACGATTGTGAAAGAATGCCTTTGTCCACATTTAATTTCTTTTAATAAAATATGTCCTTGGTACACGCTATTTGAGCTGATTGAAATATAATGTACAAAAAATTAAAGTCAATATATTTTTAATATGAAGATGAGTAAACCTTTTCGTTAAAACTGAATCGGGAAATTATACAATATGGTATTACCATATGCTATAATTATTTAATTAACTTGTTGTTTAAAAATTTGAACATTAAATATTAGTGCAAACATTTGATGCCTATTACTGTTTCCTTGTCAAAGACGTAAAAAAAGTCTGTGTTAATTTTATATAAGCAGAATATGATTGTAAAATTTAACGCTTGGTATAAAAAAATTTTTACGATGTCAAACTTTTTGCCGGAGACTTAATTTAACTCAAATAATACTTTTATAGAAAATAAAAATACTACTATCTGTATTTTAATTTATAGAACGCATAATTATTTACATTTAATTATAATAACAATTTTAATATTAATAAAAATTTTTATTTTTTGCATTTCTTGATTTCATAACTTCACTCAGCGCAATATTCGTAAACTTAAAGAAATTCCAATCGATTATAATTTATTGGCGATGATTGTATTATAGTATGCAATATACGTTTCTTATTTAGGTTTAATTATAGCAACGTAATAAATATAATGTATATACTGTATATGTAGTTCTGCAGTGATGTTATTTTATTTTCATTATTTTAAAAATAATCTATATATTTTAATATTACAAATCATTGTTTAATTACATAATTTTTTTTTTAAAAATTTAATACTGTAAAATTAAAAAAAATATTTATTAAAAAATTATATATTTTTTGTTTTTTATTTTATATTATTAATTATTTTTATAAGTATTATAATGTATTTAATTATATGTATAAATGATATTTATTTTTATTAAATAAAAATTTCAAAAAATTTTTATATAAATATAGCTATTCGTTATGTTGATAAAAAGATCAATGTTTGTTAAGAAAAAATATATTGCCTTTATGGTTAATGGAAATATAAAATTTCTTCAGAACATTTAATTTTTTTGGTTAACAAAAGAATTAGCGAAAAGAGTTTTTACATGCAATTATTATTGTTGGTATCATTGTAGTTTATTTTATTTTTATTTTCTTTTATTTATACTGTATATTTCCATTTCTATTTATTCATTAACTTGTTATTTTTGGATATTTTATTGATTTCAACAAAATTTAAATATTTTCTAATTTTGGTTTTTTACTGTATCGAACATTCAGATTTTTTAAAAAATAAAAAATATTTAAATTTCCTAACAAATTTAATTAAATAATTTTACATTCTTTAAAAAAATATATTAATATTTTGCTAATTTTATAATTTAATATTTTTTTTTTATTTGCACGTATCATTACGTACAGTATGCGTTGTGTTACATACACATGCTTTATATCACACACAATGTAGTGTACGTCCTAAAAAACCATTCAGAATGTCATCCAACATGAAACTATCACCCTTAGACGATGATAATAAGTCGCAAGATTTTCTCGATGAAATTACCGAAGAGTTATATAATTTGTATAACAGGGAAAAATTAAAAGGAAAAGATACTGAAAGGATTTTTGTCATGTTAGAAGAATATTTGACCAAAAAACAGCTAAAACCGGAAGATGTAATCAATCGGTGTCTAAAAAATAAAAAAAATCACATGGTCGAATTTATTCTTGCAAGCTGTCATCAATATGGTAAATGGGTAGAAAAGAATGAAAAACGAGCATTCGAATATTATCAAAAGTCAGCCGATATGGGTAATGCAAATGCAACATGTCGTATTGGCTATTGTTATGAAAAAGGAATTGGAGTTGAAAAGGATGAATATAAGGCAATCGAATATTATCAAAAATCAGCCGAGATGGGTAATGCATCAGGAACATATGATGTTGGCTGTTGTTATGATGAAGGAACTGGAGTTGAAAAGGATGAATATAAGGCATTCGAATATTATCAAAAATCAGCTGAGATGGGTAATGAAAATGGATTATATAATGTTGGCATTAATTATGAATATGGAATTGGAGTCGAAAAGAATGAACATAAGGCATTCGAATATTATCAAAAATTAGCAGATATGGGTGATTCTGGTGGCGTATTTAAGGTTGGTCGTTGTTATAAAAATGGAATTGGAGTCGAAAAGAATGAAAATAAGGCATTCGAATATTATCAAAAATCAGCTGAGATGGGTAATTCAGATGGAACACGGTTTATTGGCTATTGTTATGAAAATGGAATTGGAGTCGAAAAGAATAAACATAAGGCATTCGAATATTATCAAAAATCAGCTGATATGGGTAATTCTGGTGGCGTATTTAAGGTTGGTCGTTGTTATGATAAAGGAACTGGAGTTGAAAAGGATGAATATAAGGCATTCGAATATTATCAAAAATCAGCCGAGATGGGTAATGCATCAGGAACATATAATGTTGGCTGTTGTTATGATGAAGGAACTGGAGTTGAAAAGGATGAATACAAGGCATTCGAATATTATCAAAAATCAGCTGAGATGGGTCATGTAGCTGGAATGTTTGCGGTTGCTGGATTTTATAGAAACGGAATTGGAATTGGACGAAACTTAGAAATGGCGACGCATTGGTATCAAATGTAAGTACAGTAAATTATTAAATTTGTCATTACTTTTTTGTAAATTAACAATTATATACAAACAATTAGGGAAAGAAATCAGTTGTTAGGTAATATATTGAGATTAATATTATTGTTTACTTTACGATTCAGAATCTAATAATCCATTTATTTAGTCTCAAACGAATCAATAATTGAAAATTCTAATGTTGATAATAAACTTAAAAAAATTCTTGCCGAAAGCAAGTATCTGTTAATTTGGATTCCTTATAGTGAATTTGAAGAGATTGAATACATAGGACAGGGAGGATTTGCAACTGTGTTTTCTGCCGGCTGGAAGGATAGATATGTTGCACTTAAATTATTTAATGGATCGAGAGATAATCATCAAGAGTTTATAAAAGAGGTAATTTTTATTTACAGTGTTTATTGAGAT